TATCATTGTGCCTCACGTTCAAGTATATGATCACATTGACCTTTTGTTCTTAAGCCATTCCAATGGGGTGATTTAGTTCAAGACATAACAACTAGTCTAAGATTATCCAGTGAAATTAATAAATCTTTGGGATTTCCCAACACAAGAACTCTCAAAACATCATACTGAGTCTAAAGATGAACTTTCCTAATGACACTAGTCTCTGGGTATCTCACTTTGATCTACAAGATCAAAACATAATGGCAAAGATAATATCTAAAGAATCCAAGGCCAAAGCTGTATAATCTATAAAATGTAAACCAACTCTGATTTTGAGCCGAGAAGCCAAATAATCACTACAGTTATTATATAAGAATAGAAATTATATAATCACTTTGGGCAGGCTTAATAGATAGCTTAGCTGCAGTTTACAATTTTGAAGTTATTCCCATAATCCAAGCATTATAGTAACCTAAAACCATTAAGTAAAAATGGGAGAGCATTGGCATCACTGTTGTATTCCATCTACCTTTGGATCAAAAAGTTTTGATAAGCCTAGCCAATGACCCAATAGTTCACCTATCCAAATATCATATCATGTATCAAAACAAGATAGGCAGCAAATAAATCTAATAAAATAAATAAGTGCATTGCATGCATGCATGCATGCATGCATGCATAGTGATTAGGAATCTGGGTTCATTCTACAAATAATCCTAGGTTAATAAAGGTAATTGGAAACAGAATTTTTGTCACTAAGCAATGTAGTCATGAAGCGTGATGTCACAGGACTGGATCCAGAAATCCTGGAATTCCCTGTTGTCTCATTAATTAAATGTCTATGGAGATTCTCAGTCATCCAGTCAGGGTTGTTCCAAAGATGCTTTTTGAAGAGGCAACTGGTTTTTCTTTGAAGACGTTTCACCTCTCATCCAAGAAGTTTCTTCAGCTCTGCCTGAATGGTGGGGAATAGAAGGATTTATGCTCCTTTAAGACAGCTGGTTATTTGAATACTTCTAGTGAATCATTGAGGCCACTTGGGTTTTATCTATGTCCTCAGGGTCACCTGAGTGGTGCAAATGGGTTCTGCACCTTCTTCGCTGCAGGATATTTTCCCTGTGTTGCTTTACTGTTGAAAAGAGACAACATAAACTCATCCCCAACAATCTGTGCCTGTCTTCAGCTTTGGGAGGAAACTCATTAATTAAATACCAACAGTCATTAGGTTGGTCATTAGCTCAGACAGTGAGCTTGTCGATCAGAAATGTTGGTTCGAATTCCTAGTGCCACATAACGGAGTAAGCTCCCGTTAATTGTCCCAGCTTCTGCCAACCTAGCAATTCAAAAGCACGTAAAAAATGCAAGTAGAAAAATAGTGACCACTTTGGTGGGAAGATAACAGCGTTCTGTGCGCCTTCGGCATTTAGTCATGCCAGCCACATGACCACAAAGACATCTTCAGACAGAGCTGGCTCCTCAACTTTGACACAGAGATTAGCACCGCCCCCTAGAGTCGGGAACAACTAGCACATATGTGCAAGGGGAAACTTTACCTTTTACCTTAGTCATTAGGTGAGAATTCACCACGAGCCAAGCCATTCCCAGTAAGATGAACAACTCCCCCATTTTTGCCCTTTTGGATTCCTCTGCATAGCAATACTCCTCTACTTCAGCCACACCCACCTGACCTTCACCGTCTCCTTCCTCACTGCTGATCAGGCATGTCCTGCTTGGCCCTATGAGGCACCTTCTTCCCAAAACCATGCATGCCTTTCTCCAAATCATTGTGTAGTGTACTCATAACCCTTCAAAGGCCCTGACTTTCTGAAACCTCCTGCCTTTCTCCAAAATCACATACTCTGTTCTCCAAATTGTGTGTACCCTTTTTGCAACTTTCTCACAATTTAGAGTGCAGTCTTCTAGCAAAGCTTTGGAAGCCCTTAAAGCATACACAGTCTCAGGAAGAAGGCAATCAGAACTGCCTTGATTGTGGCCAAGCTGGGCACGCCTTGTCACAAGCAGGAGGAAGAGGATAGCAAATGTCAGTGGAATACATACTGGCTGGCTGTGCTGCAAGGCTTGAGGTGATACTCCTTGGTGGCAGTGGTGATGCTTGTGCTGAAGTAGGGTGACAGTAATGATGACACCTCTGTCAAGCAATGCTGCTGAAGAAGCTTCTTTGATAAGAAGTGAAACACACTCAAAGGAAACAAAACCCCAAGAAAATCCAATTGCCTTTTTGGAAAAAGCACCTTTGGGATTGCAACCTGAACCTTATACCGGTATTATTCAAAGCATAGGTAGAAAAGGAACATGCATTGTCATTACACAATCCACACATTTATTAAACAATAACATTATATCAACTGCACTTTATACCAACTAAACTGTGGATAAAGCAGACAGGGATAGATGAAAGAATTTTTGCCAGTTGCAAAAATTCACATCTCATTAACAGCATAATAAAGGCTCAATCAAAGATACAATAGTCTATAAAGACACACAAATTTATGAGCTGTAAATACAAGGTTTGATTCAAAAGGTTTGCTTCTATCAAGATTTATCATCACCCAGTTAGAGAAACCTTTTCACATGGTATGAACACAGAATACACATTGACAGCAAGCTGAAAGTAATCTGCACCAACTAAAGGATTTTGACAAGTGGCAATGAAGAACACAAAAATAATGCACACTTCAGTAAGTGTCAAGAAAGTTGTGATGTGATTATGGGTACTATTAGGAAAAAAATATGATAAATAAAGCCAAATCTGACGGTTTAAATAAAAAGACAACCTAAAGACAACACAATGAACCAACTTTTCTTACCAGGTTCCTTAGAATGAGAATAGGAAAATTAGGAACTAGGTACTTGGAACTAACAACCCACATCATTGTTGATTGCTGGCTATGAGGCTAAAACTAATAGACGCTGTAGCTGAAACTTCTGGAAGGAATTGGGGAAGAGTTCTTTTGTTTTAATCTATTATGGTACACTCCATGTGTAGTGAACCACTGCCTCCAGAATTTTCAACTAGTATGACTTTGACAATTGTCCATAAAGGCCACCAGATGAAGAAAGCTGCTCTATAGTACACAAACGGCACAAAAAATATCTTTAGATTTATACTACTCTTAAACATTTATAATGGATGGTACACAGCCTACCTGAGCCTCAGATCTGGAGCTTTTGAAGTTCAAAAGGCACATTTAATAAGTGTGTGGGTGTGGAGCAGGGATAGAAGTGTAAAAAGTGATGATGATAAAAGGACACAACACTGTCATGGAAAGTCACAAAAATGAGAAGGAAATTAATGGCTGCAGAAAACCACAGGTAGCATATACTGATTCTTAAAGTGGAATCAAGAAACAAGCACAGCTATTACACTCCACACTTGATTAAACAAGATAGAATTTCTGATCTGCAGTCAGGTAATTTGTCAGTATGTCTGGTTCAAATTAGATATATAAAAAAGAGGTGAGCAATATAGTCCTCAGCTCTGTTTGTGTGTGCATGTGGAGGAAACCTGACAACTCTTGCTAAAATTATAAATATAATTTATATTATAATTCTGAGAGGAGGAAACGCATAAAAACGGAGTGAAAACTCTGTAAGAGGCATAACATATTCTGAAAATAATTTCCCTCTAAACAGAGGAAAAGTCTGTGTATGACTCAGGTTTATCCACTTTACACCACTGGCTTGTCTGCTGCTGCCCTTTAGTCTCCAGAAATATTATGTTTCGATGTCTCTGATTCCAAAAATATTGGGAAATCTTTTTGGCTCAGCAAACAAATCTATATATTACAGCAGCCTGTTTTTCTTCCCTGGACAACCCGCTACTTTAATGAGGCCCAAATTAGATTTCTGTTTCTTTGTAGGTAGGGTACCTCTATCAGTGGTGGGTTTCCAATTTTTTTTATTACTGGTTTGCTCGTGTGCACACAACATTTCTGTGCATGCACAGAAGCGTCGGGACAGGTAGGCGGAGCCTCCCGCCACCACTACTACCAGTTCGCCCAATCCGGGCTGAACTGGGAGCAATCCACCTCTGACTTCTATGTACAACTGGAAAGCTAGGCAATCCCTAGTAGGTCATGATAAAAGTACCAGACAATAAAATTACTATTATTTTTATTTATTACATGTATATGCCACCCATCTCCCCTAGTGGGCAATTCTGGGCAGCTTATAAAAAGATAAATGGAAAAGCAATTAAAATATTTTAACATGCAAATTTAAAATTTAAAACTATACATAAAACCAGGATTAAGAGACGTACGTCATGGGGATGAGATCTTCTAACCCCATTAACCAATGGTGAGCACCTCTCTTGTGGCCTCAAGCCAATTGGCCAAACCAAGTTTCAATACCCTTCAGGAAGACCAAAAGGATGGGAAGGGGTCTCACCTCAAGTGGTAGTGTTCCACAGAGATGGAGTCACAGTGTGGATGCTAAATATTCTACCAACCAACCTCAAGCCCACATGAGAACCTATAAATATCTCAGAGGTATTCATGAGTCTTCAGACTGTAAGTACATGTATAATGAAGGAGCAGTAAAACCCAGAAAATGTGAAGTATAAAGCACCAGTGTTATTATCTAGTTGGGCAACGAAAAGTCTGCAAGCAAACAACCAAGGTCAAAGAACATCAAAAATTCTTCAGTTCAATCCTGAGTGACATGCTTTATATTCTCTTCTGTTACAACTAATTCTTTCCTTACTAGGGTTTTAATCATTTTCAGGGGATGAAGAAAACCACATTTTATTCATTATATGAAAACCACATATGTACAGTGTAAGCCAACAAATCTATTTTGAAAAGAATAAACACCAGCAATTAATGAAAACATTTCAAATAAAAAGAAAATCTATGGAACTAATTAAAAAACTGCAACATTTCTACAAAATGTGAACCCTAGTGCCTTGAAAAAACCTACATTTAATGTTCACAAAGTTTTTCAGGATCGTAATTCAGTGATTATTCAAATGAATAATTTATAAATAAATTTATACTTACTATGGTCTCGGTCTTTAGTCAATATACATTCTTTTATAGATTCTGTTATTCCAAGACTGGCTGCAGTAGGAAGAGGTCCAAGCAGTGATTCCAGAGCAGATGGCCTTACAGAAATTTCTTTTTCCTTTGATCTGTCTTTATCAAGCAGTTCATTATAAAAGTCCATGTTCAGATGATTTGCAGCTGCTGCCAGTTCTTCATCTTCTCCATCCTCATCTCCAAATATACTTGAAATAGTATCTTCTATACAATCTGTAATGACAGAGGATCAAATGTTATCAGATATGATAAAATTAAAAGTGCTCGATAGGCTATTTATGAGTTTCTTAAGATTCCCAAGATTATTTTTCTACCTTTCAACAGTTTATTATCTGGGCTTGTCAAAGGATCAAAGTCACATCTTCAGAAAGCCAAAAGGTCTACCTCATTTCTTCTGCAGATTAATGTGTTTAATCTCTATGCAGTACATCAGCAAACATATACTGTATGAATCTTTCCCCAATGTAGTCCCCTCCAAATTAGTAAATTGTGTCCAACCAGGTTTTAATATTATTTCAGATTCCAGTTATAAACAGATCATTTCTCTTTAAAATGTTTGACAACCATTTTATGAAACTCAATATCAAGCATAGCAATATATTCATAATATTTAACAGATTGTGTAATGCCACATACTGTACAATGTCAGTAGGAGCTTCATCCTGGAAAAGAGTAATCCATGTGAGGGGATCCCAGAAATGATGTCCTTGCTGCAGACAGTTCATTACCTAATGTAGCTTAGAGTCTTACATTTACTCCCTTGTCTAGGAGTGGGTTCAAATTAGACCAATTTTTCAATTACAGTTGGAAAAAACATATGGAATAACAACTCTAAAATACTAAAATCTCCTGAGAGTTCAGTGTAGTGAATTTTAAGCAAAACCACTAAGATATGAGCCAGGCTTGACATCACTTGAGCAATACTATATCCTAAGTTGTTTGTTTGTTGTCTATTTGTTTATTTGATTGATTTTTATCCCACCTTTATTTTTTTAATAAATAATTCAGGGCAGAGAACATATTCATACTCATTTCTTTTCCTATTTTTCCCACAACAAATCTGTGAATTGGATTGGGCTGAGAGAGACTATCTGACCCAAAATTATCCAGCTGGCTTTCATGCCTAAGGCAGGACTAGAATCCAGTCTTCTGATTTTTAGCCTGATGCCTTAATCACTACACTAAACTGGTACCCAGATATCTATCTTAACATTTAATAATGTAATTAATATGGATATATTTCATGCCAATGATTAGTTCCTTGAAAAAAAGTAACAATTAAGTGCTTTTCCTTGGTGAGACCTCTTATGGAACTGGCTTCTCCTTACTAAGTCTCCTTACTAGGTCTCAAAATATATCTTTTCACTCAGGATCTTCTTTTACATTCTGCAGAACTTACTCAATAGGCTTCTGGATGCTACTAACCGCTTAGTCATCACTTTATATTAAACAGGCAGGGAACTTTTTACAGCTTGGCAATCAAAGTTTTTCTCATTTTCAATTTAGTTCCCAAGATCCACAAAAAACAGTGACAGGACTAGAAGGCCAGGGGCTATGGGGCTGGAAAGGTAGTACATTTAAACTTATCCTTGCAATAGGAAAGAGTCATTTGTAGAGCTGACACTTTCATCAAAATGGCAATTAGTGCCAGGAGATGCAATACCACTTCTCCTTTGAAGATACAGACAGAATTCCAGAGTTGAATGAACTCATGATAACTGGTGCGGAGCCTGCTTTATGAACATGAGTGATGTTATTAGGAATTAATTCTTCTACATCTTGTAGGTGAATTATTGCACTTCGATAATGAAGTACTATTCCAAGAATTGAAATCTAAACCATGTAGTAGGGGCCATTAAAGAAATAAGATTCAGCAACCAAGTACTCCTTAATTGTGCATAGTTTTAGCTCTGACTGACAGCCTTCCTCATCCTGATTACCATTACTGCTAAAATAATAAAAAGAAGGAAGAGCAACAGCCCCACCACTGAGCCACAATCAGCTCCCAAGACTCACCCCATATAAAAATATGAACTTTGGGAAAAAGGGAAAACACAATTTAACAGTATCAGAAAGGGATTGTTACTTCATATTATACACAAGTCAGCATACATTTCAGAAAGCTTGAAGGGTTTAGTATGTACATCAACAGCACAGAATATGTATTGGGAAAATATCTTATTTATACCATTATTTATTAAGAATAGTCTTAATAAACCAAGTATATATTTAGTTGATACAATATATGAAAACAACACTAAAACAGCATTCAAAGCTTTCTGAAATG